TCTCTCTCTCTCTCTCTCTCTCTCTCTCTCTCTCACTTCACAAGCTTCAGCTTATTTAATGGGACGCTCAGTTTCTATTTACTATAATGTCTATGCTTGCGGCCAAAACTGGCGAACAGTAAGGATTGATTTTTCGCCACTTGTGGCGTTATCATTTTGGACAGTTTAATGAATTAAAGCGAGAAGAGACTCGGACCGGTATTCATAGTCGGATCTTACATTCGAGACAGTCTTGAATTTATCTAAAGTTGCCGTATGGAACATTTCATTTGGCTACGGAGTAGCTAATGACCATCTAAAGACGGTCTGAACATAAAGCCAACGGCACACGATACTATTATATTTTTCCCTACACTGAGAAAAATGTCCGATTAAATATAATCGGATAATCCAATTACATGATAACAAACGGATATGTCCGATTAAATTGTATATCTGATGAAAAATTTGATCGGTTTTTCAATCAAATTTCATCGGTAATTGCATTTCATCGGATAAATTTCATCGGATATATCCATAATTTAATCGGAAAACGTAATCGGAAAAATTAACCATCGGACATACTATTTAATTGGTTTATCCAATGAAAATTTTTCTCAGTATACTGGTTTGCTTACGACCCTGCCGGAAATAATTCTACAAAAGTCAACGAAAACATTAAATATAACTGCCAGAATCAAAGAAATTCTACGTAAATTTAAAAAGTGTTATAAAAGTCATCATGAAAATGCTAGAAATGGAACACTTTTGTTAATTTTTGTAATATTCTACAAGTAAACGGATGTTTTAATTCTTTAGGATTGTGTTGTTTCTCAAATTTTTAAAACTAGTAAAGTTTTGTACTAATCTTTACGAGATTGTACCTTTTCATGAAATACTACTTGCAATAATTTCTTCATTTGAGAACATTGTAACTTGTGGTACTATTTCATAGATATTTTTACAAGAAAATTAATGCTTCAACGAAGATATAAACTTTTCTACAAATTTCTATTTTAAGTAAATCTTTTGTAGTTTTTTATAAAACATTTTTTCCGCAAGGGGAGAGCCAATCAGGATTTAACCTTGAGTCACCCAAAAACTCTGCATCCTTATTGGTTCTCGTAAGCAACCCAGTAGGAAAAATAGTATCGTGTGCCGTTGGCTTAAGATTTAACTATGAATACCGGCTATAATAGTGCAAGCGTGAAAACATATGTAAATTTCAAAGCAATGCGATTGCCGCGACTCTTAAATTTCTACATTTTTGGGGCCACATTGAAAGGCTGTGTTCGTACACCTTATACATACTTGATACACGAAACAATAAAATCGCAGATAAGCCGGAGATCTGGGCGAAGAAACCGCAGGTGCACGCGCATTCGGGGATACGAGTACAACTGGATTGCACGGTGACTGCCTGGCCCAAGGCGGAGGTGAGGCTGCCTTTCTTCTAAGACCGTCAACGGTGCGTGATTGCGCGTTAATTAACGGTTCGAACAATAATTAACGGCTCAACTTGCGAAGAACGCGCGCGCGAGTCACTTGAGCGTGGCTCCTAATCAGACTTTTAATTACATCGCAAGAGCGGACGTTGCACGCCGGAAACGGTACTGAAACTGTAGACGTGTTCTCTTCGATAAACTTCCAAAGCGTGGCCCTTGAATCAGGATTTTCCACGAGAAATAAGCAGGTCGAAAAACGGACGCGAGTGAAGTCTATTTCTGCAAGAATAAAACTCCCGCGTCTCCTTTTTCCCCTCGCGCTCGCTCACTTCTCCTCTTCGTCCCTTTTCGAGGCCAATGCGAAATTGTGTCCGCGTGATTACTCGTCCCGGTCGAATAATCTCCGCACCCTTATTAACCGTAAAACAACGTGAAATACTTTGAAAGATAAAACAAAGGGGGGCGACAGCTCCCGCGTGTGTGTTGTAAAAATAAATTTTCACGCTCCCGCACCGAAACTTACACGCAATTAAAATTTTCCCTCTTATGTCACACGATAACGGAGCACCCCGATACGATACGATACGATACGACGTGACACGACGCTGTACACGATCGATCGGCGGGGGTCTCGACGTCCAATACAAATACGAAATATTTTTCTGGCGTTACGGCGAGCTCGTCTTTTAGATTTCAACGAGTTCTTCACGCTCGGTAACTAAATGAAACCACCCCTCCTATCTGCCAAGCAATTTCTCACCGTGATCCCTTAAAGCCAGTCGCACGTGACAAATCGATTCGTAGGGAACGTGACTTACCGTACCTTTCTTTTTTATTTCTTCGCAAGAAAAAAAAGAAAGGAAGAAAGAAAGAAAGAACCGAGCGAGTCATGGGGAATTGCGTTACCGCAGCACTTGGCAATCGATCCCAGCGGGATAGCGTTACCGATCTCGTGTAACGAGGAATTGTAGAAATTATGGGAGTCTCGCGCTCATCTGTCTTCTGCAGGTCGAGTGGTACTTCGGCAACAAGAACTTAACGTACACGTCGCGGGTGGTGAAACACAACGCCGGGGACGTTCACAGCCTATTGATAAGGCAGGTGAAGGCAACCGATTACGGCTCCTATACCTGCAGAGCGTCCAACTCGTTGGGGGTCACCGAGGGGCTCGTCGAGCTGTCGGGGATCGCGAATCCGGCGGTGTTCAAGAAGGAGTCGCACAGCACGTCCGGCACGTCGTACAACTTTATCTGGGAGGTCGACAGTTACATTCCCATCAACGAGTACCAGTTTTGGTTTCGCAAATATAGGGTGAGGATGCCTCGGTCACGGCCCGAATCGTCAATCGATCGAGGGTACACAGAGAGGGTGCCGTGGCGAAATCTCGGGGAAAATCGGCGTCAACTAAATCGACGGTCTCGTCCCGTCCCGTCTCTCCCGAACGAGGGAGAGCGTGGGACCTGCTCCGTGGTTTCGTGCGTTGCTCGCGTTACGACCCTGATAGCTGCCGCACATGCAAGGGTCGCGGGAATAATTGAACAAAAGGCAATGCCCGGGGGCTTATTACTAGAATCTTCAGTCGTAAAATACGTTTCTTGCCTCAACCGGCCCATGAATTCGCAATAAGGCGAAAAGAGATGCAGAACGAAATGCAGAATATTCAAGTAACAAAATATTTGTCGTGCTTTCTGTCTCGGCGCGCTCCGCGAAGACTGCCAGCTGCTTTATCAGTGAATATTTTTTTCTTTCTTCGGAAGGTCATTCATTTCCTTCACTTTACCGCGCGTCCGCCTCCCGGGCCGCCTCGGTCTCGACATAATTTACGGAAAACGTGCGAAAATCTACGGAATGTAATGAGTTTTATTGACAAGGTATCAGAAGGAGTCGCGTAATGAAATTAATTTCATTTAAACGTTGCACAGGCAGCACGAAAACAAAAATGTAATCATTTGGCTCTCACTACTTAACTGGCTGTAAATTGCTTCGTATTCTCTTGTGTAATCTTGTAATAATGTAGTACAATTCATTAATATTGTATGAAAGATTATCCCGACGACTTGCGTTTGCCCTTTATTCTTTAAAGACCGATTCCAATGTGATCGGAGATCGTTTCGAATCTAAATTTTTCACGTGTCGTAGAGCAATAAAGGAGGCGGCATACGTGGGCCTTGGCACAAATTGTCTGTTCCCACTGGTGGCAGTGACATCGTCAGCCCGGTGCACGTTCGCTCCTTCAACCTGACGGGGTTGGACGCGGCGACCCATTACGAGGCAGTCGTTTTGTCCAGAAATCGTTACGGATGGAGCCGCCCCTCGGAGATACTGCGCTTTCACACCGAAGGAGCTCGTAAGTAATAAAGATAAGTCGTTCGCATATATATATCTCTCTCTACCCTCGCGTACCCTCTCTTTCGCGCCCGCGCGCGACACGGGTTGCGCGATCGCGAAGCGAGATACGTCTGTGAGAGGAAATTCGTATCGCATGTGATAGTATATCGCGTCCTATTTTGCACGTTGCAGCTGTCGATTCCAGCGAAAATCCCGAGATGGATGACGATCAAGAGCAGAACAGGATAGCAGGTAAATATGACGGTTCCGTTTTAATCTGTCTCCTTCCAACTATAATTGCCAAGTATTAATTTTAATCCCTTATCCTCGAGTCTATTAAACTGTATCCGAAAGTTTATAATCTACCTCGATTCATTTGGTTTTAAATAAAGGGAAAAATGAATTACAATTTTCCGTCTTACTTCTTAGCGTCACGAAAGTTCAAGAACCATCTTTTGCTAATATTTTAGTAAAAAGAATATTGTAATAAATATATGTATCATCTCGGTACATAATTTTTTAGAGTTTGTCTTAGATGATTCCTAAAATATGTAGTATATGTACGTTGAGTAAGAGCTAAAAGAAATTTTAAGAAATACGATAGCTAATTGCTAAAAGTTAATAACTTATGTTACTTGGTTGCAGATGTAAAACACTCATCCATGTCGCAGCATTATCTACTGACGGATGCAAACGGATCGACGTTTAATCGAGCACAGGCCTTGTCGTTGGTGTTGAGTATGCTGTGTACCTTAATTATAACGCGCGACATATTTTAATTAATGTTGTATAAAATGCGGAGAAGAATATAAAGTGTTGTAATTTATGCGTATACCAAACTATTGTTAAAATATTATCATTGTCAGTCATGTTTGCGTTCGATGAATCATTTTTATTAGCGATGATATCACAGCATCGTTTGTATGCGGTTCGTCATTTCATTCTCGAAAGATTAAATTCAAAAAATTAATATAAATTTTTGTTGTCTCGTGATTTTATCCTGAAATTTATATTGCAATTATACGAATAAGTAATTAAAGCGGTACAAAATTGATATTAACTATGCGAATATTTAATATCGTCGGTAAACTCGGCTGCATACCTCGGAAGAAACCCCTTTTACCGCTCGGACGAAACCAGTATCGTCAGTCGAGACTAGAAACTTTGTAGGATGTCTCTACGAGAGCTACATTGTCGGCTAACACTTTCTATAATTTATTTCCTTTATCCTATGCGCATCTTCCCAAAAAGTCTCGGTTTCTAAATAATAAACGTGCGAAAATGTTGAGAATATAGTAGGTTTTACTGACAGGACATCGTAAGGAGTCATAATGAAATGAATTTAATTTAAACGTTGTACAGCCAGTGAGAAAAAAAGTGTAATAATTCTGACCTTACTGCTTGACTGGTTGTAAATTGTTTTGTATTCTTGTACAATTATCTTATAATTATATAATAATATAGTATAATATTAATATTATATCAGACAGATTCACACAACGTCCGCGGTATGAAAAGGGATGCCCTTTGCTGCTAATCCTTTTTTTTCCCCATTTCTGTTTACCTTTGCTAGTATTCGCTCCCATGATGACTAACATATGCAGCGCAAAATACTTGATAATCGGTCTCGTTTAAAAGTGAAAAATGTGTAAAAACGTGAACCCTCGATGCAACGACAGTATAGAGCATTATTGTATTTTTTTTTGTTTCTGGGAAGTTAATTCGCGATGTACTGTATTCCACATGATTTTCTTTTTCTTATCTCGTAATAGTGGTTTTGGGATTTGCTGGAATACTCCTAATTCCTGTCGGTAGCTCGGAGCTTCTCCTCGACAGCCTCCTCGGAAGCCTCCGACAAGTCCGTCGCCTGTATGTACTTTTGTACGCCAACCAACGACTTTTTCAAAGCGTCGAAGGAACTCGAGTACAACATCTTCTTCTTAACCTTGGCCGTGTCGGGACACCACGACATCAAGAACAATTTTTGTTTCTTCGATGCCTGAGGAGAGAAACGATACAATCAATCACCGATCGCGTAACTGTAAGAGCATCGGCAAACCCCGTTAATACTTTCGAGGCGTACGCCGTCAAGTGGCATTTACACGAAAATGTCTATGGTTAATTACCTCGGAAGTACCCTGACATTGATGGGTATATTCGAAGTCGAACAGGCCGTAACGGCATTCCCCGCTGCCACCCTTCTGTAAATCCTCCAGGAAGGCGTCGTAAGCCGCGTCGCGGGGTCCGATGACTTCGACATCTATCTGCCTTTCGTCTTTGATGTAGAAAATCACATATCGGTGCTTTTTGTCTTTCTTTATCTCCTCGTACGTTGTCTTGCAAACGTCCGCGACTGTCACTCCAGATGCCTGAAAAAACACGTAAATTATTATGGTGAAAAGGAAGCGGGAGAAAGACTGAGACAAGCGACTGCGATTAATCGATGCTTCTTGGTTTTTTTTATTAACGTTAAATGCATCGATGTAACATTGCATATTTTACGATACTTTCTTATCAATGTCGGAGAAACACTCTTTTCAGACACCGGTGATATTTCATCTCGAATTTCATTTTATTACGAAACGGTTCGAGTGTATAGTATCACGAATTTATTCATCGGCATTTCGTAACGGCAAACAGCCGGGCGGAGAGTCTCGTGAATCTCAGCGATCGTCCGAGCAGAGCTGCGCCGCCCGCTCGACGGTGGAGCAGGTTGACGCTGCGCGAGCAGCTGGATCATCTCGTCAATACGATAACGTCGGCGGCGTTCGGCAATCGGCACACATCGTCGCGCGCCGCCGCGTCAGTCGGGCCGTTTAAGCCCATTTCGCGGGCAAAATACGTGGGGGACGCGCTACCGAAATAAATTCTTCCCACGCGCGAATCCCGACGCTAAAAGAGATCCGACGATCCACTTCTAAAGTTATCCCCTGGCTCTCGGGCACGTGCCGCGCGCTACGAACTTTTCGTCCGGTTGTCTCTCCTCCCCGCGCCGCGGAAATTCGTGAAATACGACCGCGGCGCCGGTTTACACCTTCGCCAGCGGGGCGCAAATGGACGAAGGGAGGTCCCTCGGTAGCCGGGAACGGCTCTCATCGGTCTCAAGTCCTGCAATCTCAACTTTAAATTATACCGCTCGACAATAGGATCCGAGCCCGCGAGAGATAGTTTCGAATCGATTTTAAAATTGCGACCAAGTATCTCGAACCTATCGAGCCTCGGGAAGACTACGAGGAATGATTATTCTTTCTCCTTCACTGAAGAAAAAAAATTTTTCGCTTCGCTAAAAATATTTTGCTGCCGTAACTATAAATTTCTAAGCCACAGCAAACGGTCTGCCGTCGCACCTAATACAATAGGCACAGTAGCCAAATGTTTAGCAATCGCAACGAAATATTAGCTGTCCATATTTTACAATTGAAATTTAGTTGCCTCGTGCAGTTTTTAGCTACGGCAGCTACACTTTTCTTTCCGTGAATTCAAGCTTTGTTTCTCTGCGTCGAGCTGTGTCGCTCCGTCCAAAAGAATCTAACGTTCCACGTCGCTGCGAATTATTTCCCTCGCTTCTGCCAAATGCATGAAAGTGAAAATTGGCACTCAAAGGGCGAATCGCGTCACATGATCCGCCGCGCCATACGAACGTTCATATTTTAACGAAAACTGTGGGGCATTCCGCTGCGAGCGAAAATTACTTCGTCCTCCAATTACAGTGAAAATCGCGTTGAAACTATGAAAGATCATCGGTGGTCCAAAGCAGGTGGTGATTTCTTTTTTTTTGTACAATATTCCCCGCGGCGGTGGAATTATCGAGCGACACGGTCTCATTAAAATTACGTCGCGCAACGAAATTCGGCTCGCCGAGACAAATGGAATATACTCGCGGGCTCGTGACCGTTAATTATCGCGCTCGGCTGAAGCGCGGAACGTCCTCGATAGCCGACGCCCGTGCCAACATATCGCCACTCGTTCCACATGACCGAAGGAACGTTAGCGGATGCGAGTCGGAGTGCGTAGAGGGGTCCTGAGCGAGAAACGCGACGGCCGGAGGGTGGCCGGCGAGCAAGCCGAGGATGCAATTCCTGGGTCGATATCCTGACGGGGCGGCGACAGGGGGGACGCCGGTTAAAGGGATGACTGGTCGTGGGGGGGCCCACTTCTGGGGCGTTGTTGTACCCCTCTCGCTAGGCGCTCGCAGGCCGCGCACAAGGTCACGCCGAGGATGACTCATCGAGAAATCTGTCGGTTTTAACGGTGCTTTCCTGCGCTTTCGATAACGAAATGCCGCACCTACTCGAATCCGTATCAGGCGGGCACGTTGGATGTCCGCGAATCGAAGATTGCAACTCGATCGATCCAGTTGCAAGACGCGGACCAGCGCTCGCCAAGCTGCGGCTCGCACAATTACTACAGAAAAGTCCTCTATTGTGACATAGGATTCTCGTGCGAGATGGTAGGTTTTCAACATCCAAATTCAAGCGCAAATCTTTTTTCGCAACGATTACACGATCTATCAATGAATTTTCCACTAAACAGACTTCCCGTCAAGGGCAAGAAATTCACGGTGGAACCAACTGATGGTGCCTATTAATTTAGCCGAAACTCTCTCTCTCTCATATTAGGAGTCTATCTCATAATAGGGGGCTTTCCTCTATTAATAAGCATACAATAGGCTCCAAGATTAAAACAATTAGGAGTAAAAGAAAATAAAGATTTCGGTAACAGGTTTCCCTTTTTCCCCAATAATTACTATAAGAATTTTAATTCAATAGGGGAAAGGGGAAATTTATAATGCTAAGTATAGCATTAAAATTAAATTAAAATAATTTACAAAAATCGTTTAGTGATTTTTACAACACGTGAATTCACTGA